CACACACACACACACAGACTTTTGAATATCCAGCAACAAGAAAGCTGAGTACTCTAAAACGAAAGGATTCATTTTAGCTCATGAACTTGCAAAAACTCCAGACTTGAAAGGCAAAAATTGAATTGTTGAAATTAATCAAATAGAAACTCTAAGAGAGTGTGTGAGAAAGAGATAGTTCTCAACTCCATTAGTGCACTTTAGGCATTAGTGAACTGTGTTTTTCAGTTACTTTTGGAGGATTTTAGAGGCGGGCCATTCATCAAGAAGACACCGGCTTGGCACTCACAGCTACTTAAAGGCTGGCAGATGACATTAGGAAAATAAAGAGTCTTCCAAAAAGGGTTGTCTTCTATAAAGTCCTGAAACATCTAATACTTGGATGGCCATTTCATGATGTCATGTTCTGCAGATTCTGCATAATGCACATCCGCCCTGGGAACTGTAATGGAAGAGAAAATTAGAGCTAGGTAAACCACAGCATCCTCCATTTATCATTTGTGTCTTGTTAGCCTCTGGCTTTAGTTTGTTGTTCCTATTTGCATTGAATGAAGGAGATTCCTGGTCTCAAGACACCACTGGTGGAATCCTTTCTTTACTCTTCCAGTTGCTGTTTTTAGACTTTCTAGTGGCAGACTAGGCAACAACGCTCATGCACACACCGTGAACCTTTCCTCCTCTCTCACACTTCCTTTTCACTTCCATGACACTCTCTCTTCTTCCTTCCCTCTGTCGAGTATGTAGAAACAGCCACGGGGGTGTTCCCTCAGAGCTGCAATTACAGTCAAGGAAAGTGTGTTATCCTCTCTGCATATTCACATATATTCTGTGTGTGTGTGTGTGTTCGCGCGTTTGGCTCACCCCAGTTATTTTCTGCCTGTTCCAGGGATTTCCATGCTGTAGGACCTAGACATTTCCCAGAGGTGTGACTATGTGTGTAAAAGTATGCGTGTGTGCTTTTCAGTATTCACTCTGTCACTGTCTCCTTCAGTGATTAGGCCCGTCTCCGTCCCCAACTGAGGTTTAGTCTTTTTTCCCTCCCGTGGGAAATGTCAACATGAGGCTGATTTGCCTGCATCTACCACTTTTTTTGGAGTCTGTGCTGCATTTGACTGGGCCGTCTGAATGTGTGTATGTATGTGTGTATGTGTGCGTGCATGCATTTGTGCAAAATTGTCCCTACTTGTCTCGCTTGCCCGCTTGCCAGAGTCTGGCCAGCACTGCATCTGGTTCCGTGATGAGACATCTGCAATTGGGAACTTAACACGATTACCAAGGTACAATGGCCGCGGGGACTGGAAGGGGTCGAGGCACGGATGGATGGATGGATGGATGGATGGCTGAAGAGGAAAGATGGAGGGATGACACTCCTCCAGATGGTTGCAGATGTAGCAGTGGGGGATGCTTGAGGTGGAGCTTGTCCTCTATACTTCACACCTTCACCTGTGAAGAGACCATAGCTTATCTTTGGTCTTGTCATTTTCACACATTTCTCCTTTTTGTTTTTTGTCTCCACTCTCTCCCGCTGGTCTGCTTTGTTTTTACTCTCTTTCTTTGCCCTCCTTCTGTCCTGACTGCTTTCTGTTGCCTTTCCTTGTCCCCTGCCCTCTGCCCTGTAATGCCATGTTTTGTTAAAATTAAGACACTTTTTTTCCCCATGATCTTGTTCATTTCTCCCGATGGGCTTGTTTTTTATGTCCAAGTTTATTTAGCTTTGCTGTTCTCTGACCTTCCTCCCTGTTTCTCTCCTGATAGAGTTGACAGGTTGTGTTTGAATTCCCTCATACACACACACACACACACACACACACATAGACAATCCCTACCTATTTTTCCTCTTCCCAAACCCCTCCTCCCTCATTCCCTCCCTCTGTCCTGGTCGTGTACGGGCAGTGGCACTCACTCACTCCCATTGACAGATTACTTTCCTAATGGAATTTAATTATTTATCCCTTCCTCATGGCGATTTAGCCAGGAAAAGACCGACAGCAGGAGCGTGAGGGAGGACAGGACAGGAGGGGAGGGCGGAGGGAAGAGGAAAGGGAGAGGCGCTCATTTCCTCCAGTGGCAAGAAACTGGATCACCTCTGTTTTGATTTGGAGAGATGTCATTCAGAGAGAGAAGGCAGGGGAGTGAGGGATGTTGGAAGGAGGAAAAAGAGAGAGGTAAAAAGAGAAAAGAGAAAGACAGAGCTGATGTCTGTCTTACACGCACACACTCAGAGAAAAGCATGAATGACGACATATACAGAGAGTTTGGTGCCTTACTCTCTGGCCCAAACAATCACAAAAACTTATTTTTTATCACTTATGAGGACAGTGCATTGACTTACATTCATTCTCTTAACGGCAATTACTGCATGCCTAACTCCACCTGTTTAACCTGATGGTAACCAGCCTTTTGTCCTCAGATGTGAGGTGATCTTCTGTCCCCAAAATGTGATTACACACACACACACACACACACACACACATAAACCTTTGCAAGTCTCTGCAGAGAACATGAGTGTTAGACAACCTGTCTCTGCTCTCTGTACCTCATCACTCGCTGTCACACACATCTCTCTGTCTTTTTCCTGTATCTCCTTTTTTCTTTCTTCTTGTATCATCTCTCACTGTGTTTCTGTCTTTTTTGACTCCCCCCCCCCTCGCTCTCTCTCGCTCTCTCTCGCTCTCTCTCGCTCTCTCTCGCTGGGGATCCTAATTAAGCTTGGCTGCTCTTTGATGTTGTCGCCTTGGCAACAGTCACCATGACGAGGCTGGGTCTGCACACTCTCTCTCAAACTCACTCAGGCATACACAAATACACACAAGTACAATACACACACAAATGCAAACACACACATACACGCTCACTGAAATCATTAAAGAATATAGCCAGCCTTTGACCCTTGGTTCAAATGATACCTTACACAATGACTAAGGCGTGTGCGTAGGCTACGCATGTGTGTGCACACATGTTGGCTACATGTGTGCACACATGTCACAACAGCAGAACAAGGAAAACACTTATATCCTGCTGAGCCAGATGGAGATGCAGTGTGTGTATCTATAGGTGGTTGAGGAAGTGGAAGAGCTTCAGTCCGTGACACAGAGCGACTGGCTGTCATGCCCGTTTGCTCTGATGTTTGACCTGTTATTGTATTTTTTTGTTTTCCTAAATAAATGTTTGTGTGGGCTGAAAGCCCTTGAGATGAATCATGTGTTAAAGAGCAATTGTTAGCACGAGCTGTTTCTCAGGGCAGTACGGAATCTGGTAAACTCTGATTTACAGCAGGGAAGTTCCTCATTTCTTTCACTGTGCCCCGGCCTTTCTGTTCAGGCACTATGTTGTACTTCTTTCTCTCTCTTTAACCTTTTCCGTCCAAGAATCTCCTTTCAAGACATTTTTGTTCATAATTGAGTCCTAAACATGTTATTTTATATTAATAAATTGAAAGATGTAGCCTATGCAACTGTGCTGCTACATTGCAAGGTTCCAGCATGACTCATATATTAATTAATTATATATATCACACATAAATTCAAGTACTGTGCTGGAAACAGGTTAAAATAATTTTACTGCACTGGAAAACTCCCTTGCTTGAAGAAAGTAAGTCTCAAAAGACCAACTTGACTTAAAAAGATGGAGGTTTTTTTGCAGTGTCCTCCTTTCCCTTATACTTCCTCAACCCTATCTTTATCTCTTCATTTCCTCTGCACTTCATCCATCTCTTTCCACCGCCCTCTCCTCTCATCAACCCCACCCCAAAACAACCAAAAAAAAACAAAAATATCACGAGAATACAGCAAGACGAAGAGAATATAAACAGTTACTATTTATTATGAGAAAGAATAAAGCAATTTACAAACACAAACAAACAGCTAGATCAATAAAAAGACAATGAGTATAGTGGACACAGAGACTAAAGACTGGACGACAGATATGAAGCGAGAGCACACATCAGGGATACATTATATAGATACCAGAGCACACACAGACGATACAATACGAAACCAGAACCATGAACAACACAAACACATACAAAACAAAATAAGAAAATACATCCTACTCTCTATGACAACAAACCACCAAATAATTTGAGATACTAACACAGAACAAATCAATAAATAAAAACAAAAAAAAAAAGAGAACAAACCAACCAAACATAAATAGAATATAATTGAAAAAAGAAAATTTATTGATTAAGACACAGAGCACTATGATGACTAATATGAACAAACATTAATATAAGAGAAATATATAATTTTAGTAAGAGTTGTAGGTTATATGAAAATGAGCCAAAGCACTGTGCGGGACTGAATAGATTACTGATTAGATGGATGATATTTTACATCTCAGGAAAAGACTCTAAATTGCTGCTGGTTCCTTTAATCATCAGATCAGTCAGCTGTACTGATGAGTGGACTGTGCCAGCAGAGGATCATGATGAAAAGTTGGCACAGTGACGCATTAAAACAAGTGTAACTCCTTCCCTCTCTTAACTCTCTTCATGTCCTTCCTGTCCCTGCAGCTGTTTGTCATCGACAACGGAGCCGACGACTGGCGCATCGCCATGACGATGGAGAGGGTTCTGCTGATCGCTCTGGAGCTGCTGGTGTCCGCGGTGCATCCAGTGCCTGGGGACTTTAAGTTTCAGTGGCGGGCGCGGCTAGCCTTCTCGTATGCGCCATCACAGGCCGAGGCTGACCTGGACATGGTGCTGAGCGTGCCCATGTTCCTGCGCCTCTACCTCATCGCCAGAGTCATGCTTTTGCACAGCAAACTCTTCACCGATGCCTCCTCCAGGAGTATAGGTGCCCTAAATAAGGTCAGAAAGATTTTGTGCTTGCAGGTGTGCGTATGTGCAGTATGCCTTCAAGAATGTGGTGGCCAAAGCTTTAGCCAGGAATAGGTGTGGGAGTTGTAAATGTATTAAGGTCAAGAGCTCTCTCCTCCGAATTAAATCTGTGTCCACAGTGTCCTTTTCATTCCTGGCCTCTATCTCTCTCACTATCTCAAGTCCTTTTCTTCTGCTCTGTCCTTCTAGTCACCCTGTTCCTTTTCATCTACCAGCTCAAACCCCCTTCCTCTCCTTTTGTTATCACTGTGCATAAAGACTTAGATCTAAGCTGTGGTGGATCTTTCATAATACAATACAATATGATATGGGAGCGTGAAATGGGAACAAGATATTGCATACGGCTCAAATGGGGCATGACAAGAAAGGACGACGACTCGAACGAGATTGCAATACAAGTGCACAGAAATGTGTACAAGCCATGCAATAAATGATTGGTGCCAGGTTTGTAATGACTTTAAACGATGAACATTATTGTAAAGTCAGGAAGTAGAGATGTAGCGTGTGGAGGAAATATGCAAACTAGTAGGAGAGGAGGAGCGGGAGAGATGGAGTAGATTTTGGATGAGTAATTTAGCAGGTTGCGAGTGTATCTGCAATGGCACTATTTTGACCCTCCGGCTACAGTGACGGGAGGTGAAGCTGCCATTGAAGTGCAGCTCTAACATGACAGCTCATTTATCATCTGCTTAACCCTTCTGGGGCTCAACCATTGCTCTTGGATCATCTATCTGCTAGAAGTTGATGACAAACGAGCCACAGATAAAAACGAAACTGAAATAGGCCAATTACTCAAAGACACTGTATATCTTGACCTCGAGTCAGAGGGCGAGCCCTGATTTCGACTCCAATTACAGTGGAGATTCTCTGAGTGCTGCCGCTATCAAAAGCTACTCAGAAGACTAATTAGTAAAACATCAAGCCTGTGTGGGGAACGGAATGAGGATTCAGAGCTACGCAATACTAACCTTGAAAACAATATATACTCCAATGTAATTTATCACCGCCGTTATACTGAGTGTGTGTGTGCTTGTGTGTGTATTGCAGGTGCATTTTAACACACGGTTTGTAATGAAAACCCTCATGACTATCTGCCCCGGGACGGTGCTGCTGGTCTTCAGCATCTCTCTGTGGATCATCGCTGCCTGGACCGTACGAGTGTGCGAGAGGTGAGTAGCAAAGCCGGTTGATTTGGGTTGCATGTGTTTTTTGTTTTTTTTATTGTCAGTGTGTGCATGAGACTGTGGATGTTGATTGGACCAGGAATTCAAATGAGCAATTCACTTCAATTGGCAGGAAGTATAATCTGGGACATGTGTGCAACATAATCCATCTTTAAGACTTCAGTTTATAAGGCTTTCTCACCAGTTGTACATTTAATTTGATTCAGGCGATAGAGTTGTTACTTAATTTGTCCATTTGTCTCATAAATCAGCAAAGACAACTTTGGTAACACTTTATCTTAACCCTCCCACCCATTCTGCACACTAGCCCACTGTAATGTAGTTTTAAGCAGATATAAAGACATAAATATTTGATAATATACTTTACATATAAATGAATGATTGATAACACTGTATTACATAGTTGGAATCACAGTACAGTAAATGATAAATTAATATGGGGTTAGACTGAAATGATCCAGTCCTTTTACCATCTTTCAGAGAATTTTTCATAGTTTTTTAGAAGTTGGTAGAAGAATACATGTTGTACTTAAGTACTAACCTAATGGTTGTGCAGACTAAACCAGACAGCTGATACTCAAATAGCTACCGACCTAGCCATCTGACTGTTACCTAGTAACTGTTTCAAATTGTAAATCAAAATGTCCACTTACATTTTGAGATTTATTATGTTGCGACTTATGTAATGTTACTGATGAACCATCAAGAGGAAAGCAAAAAGTGACCATCCCCTTTGATGTGTTTAAACACTTTTGGAGATAATCAAGGAAATATGAGAAAATGTCAGTTGGTTAATCAGCTTGATTAAACGCATCATTGCCTGGCTGCTGGGAAGTCGTTGTTTGGTCTACATCCAAGTTTAATTGGCATTTCCTCTGCTCTCCAAACCAAATTATCGAAGGGGAAAAAAACATATAAAATTCAATTAAACTGCTTCAAACTAGAGTGAATTTCAGAATTTGGAGAATTCAGGCTAGAGAATAGAGAGCTCAGAGCAAATATATCTATCGCTAACATCCGTGGCTAAACTTTATGGGGATTCTTTGTTGAACAGTTTTTTTGAGAAAACAACTTTGTTTCAGATCTTCACCAGGTTTGGTTGCTACGGCAACAGTGTTGTGCATAGGGAAGGAATGATGGAGGCAAGAGTTATGTGTTATGTTCTGTGTCAGGCGAAATTGAAGGACACGTGTTTGAGGTTTTGACTCCCACATCTGCAGACAGGACCCGTGGGCCAGTTATGTTGTTTTTATTTATTCACACCTTTTTTACTATTGACTGACTTTATCCTCTGAACATGGGCGGTATTTCTGTTTAGGTATCATGATGCCCAGGATGTGACCAGTAACTTCCTGGGAGCTATGTGGCTTATCTCCATCACTTTCTTGTCCATCGGCTATGGAGACATGGTTCCTCATACCTACTGTGGCAAAGGAGTCTGTCTGCTTACAGGAATCATGGTCAGTATATTTCCTCTCTCCCCTCTCTTTCTATCTACCTCGCTCTCTCTCTCTCTCTCGCGCTCTCCCTCCCCCTTGGTGCTGTCCTCGCCTCGTTCAAAGGTCAGCAGATTAGAGAGCATGCTGTCATTTGTGAGAGAAATTTTGCCATTTGTGTAATTTGGGCAATCCTCCCTGAATTAGCCTGCATCTGTGCCTCTGTGTGTTTTGGGTGTGTAGGCGTGCAAACAAGAGCACGTTAGTGGTTTGTGTGTGTGTGTGTGTGTGTGTGTGTGTGTGTGTGTGTGTGTGTGTGTGTACTTGCGTG